ATGGGGGGGGAGGGGGCTGGGCCGCTAGGAAACAGGGGGCTGGAGCAGGGGGGCTGGGGAATGGGGGGGCTGGGCCGCTAGGAAACAGGGGGCTGGAGTGAGGGGGTTGGGCTGGAGCAGGGGGGCTGGGGAATGGCGGGGGTGAGATGGCGGGCTGGGGCTCTGGGGAGCTGGTGAGTGAGGGGCGCAGGCTGGAGATCCTTCCCACGATTCAAGGCCCTCCCCCAAATCCTGTCTCAGGGAGACCCCCGCTGCTGCCACCCACACTCCAGAGCTGGGGTAAGGGGGAGCCTGATATGCTGAGCCTTTACCCCTCTGCCAGATGCAGGGCCAGGGCTGGATGGATGGGAGTTGCCCCCCCTCCATGACCAGCTCTTCAGGTGGGAGATGGCTCAAATCTCACTGTGGGGTGATGGAGTGTGGTACCGAGTGAACCCCAAGGATATGCATTAGGGGAGTTGGCACTGCCCCTCATAATGGCACTGTGAACCTGCCAGTGATGCCCACCCCAGAAACAACCTTGCCGTAGACTCTCCCTGAGGGCAGATGTCCAGGGGTAGGTGGAGATCTCAGAGCTGCCAGAGTGTCTCTTCTTCCCTGAGAAGGATATTAAAGGCTGTGGAGAAAGCAGGCTCAAGAAGGGGAGGGGGTGTCACAGTGCCCCCTCCCCTCTTCTCTCTGGGGTTGTGACACAGAGAGGAGGTGGTTGTGGGCACCTGTGCTGCTATTTGATTAAAGGCTTTTCTCAACCTAGAGAGACTAGTTTGGGGATGGGTTTGCAGAATGTAGCTGTTTCAAGCCTGCCCCCTCATCAGAAAGCAGATCACTTAATGCACAGAGCTGTCTCCAAGTGCTTTGGATGTGAAGGGCTAATCTGGCAGGGAGGAAGGAGAATTCCAGCCCAGTAGCCTGTCAGTTATTTTCCTTTTCGCTGTCCACAGTAATCAGGACGATTACCAACTGGTTCGGAAACTCGGCAGGGGAAAATACAGCGAAGTCTTTGAGGCCATAAACATTACCAACAACGAGAGAGTGGTTGTGAAAATCCTCAAGGTGAGTGTCCAGTTGATGATCGTTAGTCTTTTTCGAGCTGGAAACGTGTAGGAAAGGGGACATCTTGCTAGGTTTATCGGGGGCCTGGGGAGGTCTTGGGTTTCATTCAGTGTCTCATAAATTTGGGTTTCAGCCCTGCCCTCTCTGATGTTGGGGTGCTGGATTACATCTCTGGAAACGCATTTTCAACTTGTGTCCTGTAGTGATGTTTTGATCTTTCTCCCCTCCCACCCTGGGTAGTAGGAGTCATGGGGTGCTTGTCAGATTGAAACTGTGAGCTCTTTGGGACAGGAATGCTGTGCGTCCTGATGTTTGAATGGAACTGGATGTGCTGTCTGAACTTAGTAAATAATATCTGGCAATGTTTGTCTAAAATGGCTTGTGAACCGTCCTGTCAACAGTAATGTGAAGCCTTGAGGGGGGAATCCTTCCATTAACCTTTAAATGATTGACATTTAACTGTGACAGAGCCAGGCTCTGTAGATTTTGGGAAAGCAAACTAATTCTTGGACTTGGGACTCTAGAAAGTATATTGGATGGCAAATTCCTGGCTATTTAATGTTAGGAGTAAACATAATTGAAAATCAAGGCAAAGGATGAAACTTGTTTACCATCGCTCACTGCATGGTATGTTCTGATATGGTAACAGCTCCATGATAGTGACACATTAAAGACACAACTACAGAGGTAGCTATTAAAATCCTAATGGTTTGGTACAGCCAAGTGCTCCGTACTGGCATGTGGGGAGCGCAGTTTCTGGTATCACTGCTGCCTGCGAGCACTGGAAGCAGCATGCTCCGCCTATGAAAGGAGTGATCGCTGCATTATTTAGCAGCGGACCATTCAGCTGATTAAGGAAGGATATTTAAAGGGGAGAGAAATAAGAGATTGGTGAATTAACAGAATGCTTTGGCTTTGCCATAGTCCACCATCTTCTTGCTTTTCCCCCAATGTACAGAAGCCTGCTTCCAACACTCGAAATGCTGAGAACTCAGACATGCGTCAGACCTCAGTGCTACAGTTCGGGTAGGCTGGCTATACTTAGGAAGTGGCCCCTCAGCCGCTGTGGCTAGTAGCTAACTGCCATGTATACATGCTGCTCTGCTGAAAAGGGCCATGCATCTGTCGGCCTGTGAACTGGCTACTAGGTGTGACCAAGTTTGCTCTGACAAATCCCCTGGGTAGCCCAGGCCAGCTAGCATTGGCTCTGCTCCTTTCCTTTCTCCTTCAGGACCAGGTGGGCCACTCATCCAGGGCCTCTGATTCCTCGACCTCGTCTCCCCGCTCAACCTGTTCTGCCATGGATCTTGTTCTGCCTGGCAACAGTTGGTGGGTAGGGCACGACTTCCCAGCTGTTTCTGAGAAGTTAGCTATCTAGGGTTCAGAATTAAGGTGGCAAAGTGATCTGAATCTTCAGTGAGAGTCCCCACACCAAACAGTTGGCTGGTTGGACTGTATATTCATATGTAGAAGTGAGGCTTGCATGTTGTAACTGAATTTTTTTGGTTTACTGTTCAGGCCTGTCCCTCCTTTGGGTGCTGCTGCTGTGGTCTCAGCATTTGTTTGTCACTCTGGGGGCAGAAAAGTCAGCATTTAAAGAGAGAATATTAAAAGATAGCCAGAGTATAATTGTTATATGGAGAGATGTCTCTTGACTAAGCACAGGAAACCGTAGGCTTCTGTTTACCACCAGTCTGGCTAATCCACCCTACGACTTTGGTGGTGGACCTCCGATGCTGATCCAGTGCCAGGAGAACCCATGTATTACCATATGCAAATTGGTGACAGTGAGCCACTGTTGCTAGGAAAGGATCTTCTGAAATCTTCCTGTCTTTCTTCCTCCCCCTTCCTGCCCAAAGGGCCTGCAGTGGGATGAGATCTTCTTCCTGTTGTAGATTGGGTCCATGTCCATTTTGGGAGCCTGTCAGCATCACTTGTGAGTCAGTTGGAGAGGCCGTTTGAGCAAGGCAAGGCGTTCCCTCTCCCCAGGGTCTGTGTGTGCTGCTACAGCAATACACCTAGTGTCTGCTGGGCCTGGAAGTGAGATTGAACTGTCAGTGTGTTGTGCTGATGTTGTTCACTCTGTTTGTAAACAGCCTTCCTGGAGTCACATTGTGAAAGCAGAAAGTACAGGAAGATAAAGATGAGCTTTCTTCAGAGTGGAAACTGGATCAGTACAAGGCAACTTTCAGATTCACACCTTGTGTGTGTGATGCAAAATCATAGCACGTGTAGATAATGTCACAATCTGATCTACCTGGATTACTTAGTTTCCTGTCACTACATCTGTAATAATTAAGCCTATTTGTGTATTCTTGAGTTTTAGTAAATAGGACGCATCTTTCTGGCCCTCTGAATTCAGCCTCTAATCTGTGAAAGGAAAAATTAAACCAGAATGTAACAAGTTGTGCATGTGGCTTAAAAAACATCACTTGCTGATGGATAAACCTTTTTAGCATCTTAATTTTTTGTAACATTTCCTGAAGTGCTGAGCTGTTTGTATGGATTGCTGTACTTTCTAATGACATAATCACCTAGTATTTTTCTACAGGACCCATGCCTCATTCAGTGTGCAAGTTGACACAGTGCTTAGTGAACTAGACAGGTGTTCAATATTTTTACTCTCACTGTTCAATACAGCCCCGTGTCTTATCTGCTACACACTGCACTGAATAAAGGATATGTTTATAGGCTTTTCTGTGGCTCTCATCACCATAATGTCTGAGTTCCTGACCTCACCCCTGTGATATCAGGAAGTTTTATCATGATTTCTCAGATACAAAACTGAGCCACAGAGGGGATGGGGTGGGGCGAGAGAGAGACTTGTCAGAAGTCGCACAGAAAGTCTGTGAAAGAGGCAAGTCCCAGTCCTCTGCCTTAGCCGTTCTTCTCCCATAGCCTCTCGCCTCATTTGCTACATACCATACAGCTTTTACGGTGAATGAGGGCAGGATGCTGTGGGCTCCAGCTTTACTTCAGGACACACCATACAACTATGTGGTGAATAAGGCAGGATGCTCGGGACCGTATACCATTTCACTACAAAACCTTGCCTCATTCACTGTGAGCAGGTCATTGGGTATTGTCATAATGCATCGGCACAAGATTGTGCAGGCAACCGTAACTTTGTCACTTCCTGACTTTTGAATGCTTCGCTTGCCAACCGTAATACTCTTTTAATGTGACATTTTTGTATGCAACGTCCTAAGTGTGTGAGGTTTTTTTTAAAGCAAACGAAGAAAGCGAGTTCCTCCAGATCCCACTGTAGCTAGACAACAATGACATGCTCTGTGGTGCACATATGTACAGTCAGTGAGGCAGGGACCCTTACCTTGTCCCCTACGCACTTTCAGAGATCACATTCCACAGCAATCAGCTGTTAACAGTGAGGTCCATTTGCTTGGCCTTTGAACTCTTCCAGTGGTGCAAAGAATCTGTAAGGCCGCCCATAGCAGGCACCACCTAGGAAGCAGGCTACTGAGGACTTTCTTAGTATGGAGTATTCTTTGGCTGGTGTACCTAGCTCTCTGCCAGCTTAGAGTGTGTGTAAGGCATGTCCTTCAGCTTCGGGGGGTACGGTCAGGGTGCCACTGCTCCGGTGATCCCCATCTGGTGTAACTGCCTCGGGGTGGGGATTAGCAACTGAAGTTAGAACAGCCTCCGGGATGCTCTAATGTTATGCAAAGGGCCAAACCAATCGGAGGATCAAGAGACGTGCAAAGATGGCATATGGCCGCTGTTGCCTCCCACTCAGGTCCTATCCCAAGAACAGCTCAGCTGGACCAAGGGTTGAGCCCTGAAATTCTGCTGCACAGCCAAAGGAATACCAGGGCATCATCTAGTCAGTGACAGTCCCCGTTAAGTTTTATGTAATGTGCATACATATTGTCAATGGACTAGCGGAGTTATCTAACCTAATCCAGTGCAGATGTCCAAAGTCTGGTTTGTTTTTGTTTTTTTTAAACATCATAACTCAAACCCAGTCAAACTGGATTTCCACTGGACCAGGGAAAGGCCCATCTACAATTTAGGTGCTGTACACCTGTCAAATTTCAGTTTTCCATCACCTTCTGCTGAGGTGCTAAAGCTATTTTTAAAAAAACCCCAAACTTGGCTGCAGTCATGTTTTCTTAAGGGGGGAAAAATGACACTTTTTTCAATCCCTCTGTGGCTGAAAATGTCTCCTCTGTTTTGGCTAAAACCTCAGGGAGCCCTTCTCTCACTCTCTCCCTCTCCCCCCCCCCCTTTTCTGAAGGTAAGAATAAGCATAGCAAATTGCAGCCCCAAAGATAAAACCTTGAGAAAGTTACAAATGAGTGAAAGAAGATGGGAATACTTGGGACCATTATAGTTAAAGTTGCCAGTGCACACCTATAGTGCCACTTCCTTGCTGATTTTCACAGCCTATGAGTTTGAGTTCTCTCTGGTGCCTGTTATCTCCAATACTGGTGTCTGCCCAAGGCAGTGACTATAGCATCTATATAGCCAGCTCTCTGTAGGATTTTTCCCGTTTCTGTTCTCTCTAGATTTGTGTATTTTGTTCAGTGTGCTATGTGTTTACAGACACACAAGGGAAAAGGTTCCTCCCCTGAGGCGTTTACCATCTGAATAGGCAGCATCCACACGAAGGATAGGGATGGGCTGCAATCAAAAGCAGAGGGATCGAGTGATGAAGTGTAAGGGCTTGTGTTTGTAGCGAGAATGGAATTGTTCTCTCGCTCGTTTTGGTGCTTTCAACCCTGGAGCTGCTGCATTAGCTTGTACGCCTAATTGCAATGTGACAGTTTGGTCCCTTCCCCCCCATCAGAGTTACTGGGGGGTGGGGCCTAGCCAAAGCTACGTCTAAGCAGCGGTTTTGATGGGCGGGCACTACAGACTACTGTACAGTAATATATTTTATCATATCAATGTAATATCCTCTCAGTTGGGCGAAAACCTCCTTATCCGTCTTGTTTTATTAGATTCTGTGAGAACCACTATATGGTTTTCTTTGAAGGCTA